ACTGGGGCGGCTGGCAGCGAGCCGGCACACAATGCCAGGCTGTTGCCATCACAGTGCGAGGCATCTCCCGGCGCTGGGCGAGGGCTCGGTGCGGCCCCTGGGCGCGTGGAGGTGTGGGAAGGCTCTGCCCTCCGGCCCAGGGCTGCACCCGGGCAGTTCCCCCTCGTACCGGAGGGGAAGGGCTCTGTGCTTCCCCCTTAACCGGCACATTTTGTTTCACTCCCATCTTGTGCCCTTGTTGCGATGGGGCTGTGGCACCGCTACACTAAGGCCAGTGGCATCCTGGGGTGCGTGAAGAGAAGCGTGGCCAGCAGGGCGAGGGAGGTTCTCCTCCCCCTCTGCTCTGCCCTGGGGAGACCCCACCTGGGGCACTGGGCCCAGTTCTGGGCTCCCCAGTTCAAGAAAGATGAGGAACTCCTGGAGAGAGTCCAGAGGAGGGCAACAAGGATGATGGGGGGACTGGAGCATCTCCCCTAGGAGGAAAGGCTGAGGGAGCTGGGCTTGTTCAGCCTGGAGAAGAGAAGGCTGAGAGGGGATCTCATCACCACCTACAAATATCTCAAGGGTGGGGGTCGATATTCAAAGCCCCCCTGTGTAACACACTCTAGGAGAACTTGCTTTAGCAGGGGGGTTGGACTGGATGATCTCCTGAGGTCCCTTCCAACCCTTGCCATTCTGGGATTCTGCGATACACTGATGGAAGCCCCATTTTCTGAGGACTGTGGGGGTTGTGGTCTTTGGAGAATCCAAAAATCTGCTTTGCAAAGCTTTGCTTCCCTGCACGTGATGTTCCCCTTGCTCCTCCAGCGTTTCACCGCTGCTCCACGGAGCTAGGCAGCAGCCTCGGTGGTTCATGAGCCCAACTGAGCTGCTTCGCTAGGGGCTGGTTCAAAGCTCTCTGGTCCCTGCAGAGCCCAGACCTCAGCAGTGAACTGCGGGGACACGGGGACATGGCCTTGAGCTAAGGGTCCCCACAGACAGGGCTGAAGAAGCTCTGGCAGGACAGCCAGGACATGGTTGCTGGCCATGTCCACGCAGCACGCCAGCTCAGAGCAAGGTGCCATGAGTGCAGCACTGAGTAGAAAAGCTGGTTCCATCCTGGGTAGCCCGAAGGTCTAAGTGGCACCCTGCACCCTGTGAGGTGCCCTCGGTGAAGCCCCGTGCCGGCACAGGGCTGCCCTGTTCTCATGCCCCGGTCTCCTGGCCGGGGTTTGGAGTCTCCCGGTGTAGGTACACCTCTGCCCCTGGGGCTGGTGAATCCTCGCAGCCCTGGCCACCCAGGCTGCTCCAAACAACTGCGCTGTTTGTAGCATGGCTGGGAGGAGGGTCGTGAACCACCCTGCCCTCAACTCCTGAGCATTAGGACGTCCCCGTCACCACCCCACTGCTGCTCTGCGTGGGGCAGGTCCAGGATGCCCACAGATAGGCTTCAGCGTTGTGCTTTGCGGGTGTTAATGTGGGCCCAGGAAAGCACAGGCGGTTCTGGGGTGCGAACGGGATCTGCGGGGCGTTACGGGGCGCTGCGGGGTGGTTTTGATTTGCCAGGGTGAATCTCGCGGTGTTTACATCTGAGGCCAGGCACGCGCCGGCGCTTTGCTCTCTGCAGCGAGGCCGAGGCTGTTTCACACAGTGTCAGGAGTTTTGTTAACTTAAACGCATAATCCTTATTAAAGAGATGCGTTGAAATAGGCTATAAACTGCCCCCCGAAGCGCAGCAGGATCCTTTCTGGGTGGGAAGGGCTTTATCCCACGCGGCGGGACCCGCCTGGCCGACGGTCAGCTCCTTTACGGCGGCGAAGGGCCTGGCTCATCTGGCTCACGGTGCCACGTTCAATACCGCGGCCGAGGCATTCATCAGCGAGCTGGACAGGCGTCCTGCGTCTGAAGGTGCCTTCATACTCCCTGTGATTAAATCTTCAGGTCAGGGCTTAGCCTTAATGCTGTCTCGTACGCTGAGCTGGTGCATCTCTGCTGAGCTTTTTTAATTGAATGATAGGCAGGATCCATAACGCCAGCCCTGGGCTTGTGCTTGAACATCAAGGGAGGCGGCAAGCTGTCATTTTAAGAAATCAATGCATCTTCTCAAGACAGCCGGAGCTTACCGTTTCATTTCACAGCTGCCAAGAGATTAACTATACAACTGTCAGGTGTGATTCTCTAACAGACAAGGAAGATAACAAATATGAGTGAAAGAAGGCTGATAGCCCTGCCGGGGGGGGGGAGCAAAGAGCAGTATTTGGTAATAACGCCCCGGTTCTGCAGGAAACGACTGCTCAGGTTCACGTCATGGATCCCAATCCTGTCGTTCAGGCTCCGTGTGCTGGGAACTGGACTCAGCCTTTATCCTCAGCCTTGGGGGTCCGAGGGCTTAAGGACGTCAGAAAAGTCCTGCGGAGCTCCCGCCGGTCCTGTTCCAGCCCTGGCCCGTGCCAGGTGCCCACGGAGGAGCTGAAAGCCAGGCTTGCGCTTTGCGTCCGTCTCCCTCGGCACCCTCCCACCCCATGGCTTCTGAAGCTGTGGCGGTGCCCTTGGGTTTGCTAGCTCTCGGCAGAGAGCACGGCTGCCTTTGAGCGGGCAAGGTCTAGGCTGGTCCAGGTGTTCCTGCACCCCAGAACCAACCTGAGAAAGGTGGAGGTGGGAGGTGAAAGCATCACATGGCCGAGCGGGGCGCAGCAGCTGAGCGTCTCACTCAGCAAAGGTGCAGTCCTGGGCTTTGCAAGCTTTGCTCCTGGTTTTGGCGGGGTTGGAACCTCAGCTGATGGGGTTGGAACCTCAGCTGATGGGGTTGGAATGTCACCTGGTGGGGTTGTCACCCGACGGGGTTGGAATGTCACCCAGTGGGTTTGGAACGTCACACGTCACACGGAGGGGTTGGAATGTCACCCGGGCACAGCGTGGGGCAGAGGCTTTTGCACTGGCCTTGCTTGTACTTATTGTCATAACAGCTTCCCTTCATCCCAAATTTAGCACAGACCATTGGAATCCCTTTGGCTGCCCTATCCAGAACAGCTGGCCAAGCTGCTCTCTTGATTTTAGGAATATGAGCATAAACCTGCCTATAGTCGGCAGCTGAAATGTTGCTGGTTTTGGTCACTTTGCATCGGGGATCCATTCAACTCTAGGATTTTATTGGCACTCTCTGAATCTCTTTGAATTAATACAAATACAAATGAGTTTGGAAAAAAAAAAAAAATCGGCCCCCAGGTGCCCCTTTTGCCCCCTCTCCCATCAGCTGGGCTGCCTGCCGCGGAGCTGACAGCCGTTGTCTGCCAGCTTTGTCGTTCTGCCCCGTCCTCCTGCCCGCAGCGGCAAAGCACAGCACTTGTTAGTCCTGGCGCTGAGATCAAGATATAAGCAGACAATTGATTTTCCTCCCTCTTCTTATTAGTGAGCTCTGACACTTAATAAAACATATATTTCCACTCTCGGGGTAAGCAAAACACCCAGACAGTGCCTGTCGGAGAGGGCTGGGAGCGGGGATTCATCTTTATGGAAAATCAATAGCTGGGACAGAGAAATTGGCAGAACCCAAATTAAAAGTCGCTGGCAATTTCTGTCTTCATATGTCACGTCTGCTGCGATTCTGAAACAGCAATTCAAAACAGCGGGGCAGGGAGGAGGAGGATGGACGTTGTGCCTGGCTCTTCCTCTGCTGCTTCCAGGTGGGACCTGGTGGGAGAAGGTGGGTGCCAGCTTTGGAGCAGCCCTTTGGGCAGTGCCTGCTTCCAGGCGCTCCCCGTCCCAGGGACAGAGGGCTGTGCACCCCGGCCTTTCTGCGGGAGGTTGTGTCCCCACGGCCGTTGCTGGTAGCACTGTCATAAAACTGTCCCAATGTCACCAGCGCCTCCAGGGCTCCTGACTGTGTCCCTGCATCCCCAGACCCAAAACCCCTCGCGTTTGCCTGGCCCCTGCGTTTCGGAGCAGGGCTGCCCCTCAGCTGGCTGCACCCAGCTGCTTCGAACCCCGTTAGCACAAAGGGGTGACCGATCTCCACACTGCTTGCTCCCAGTTTCACTGGTGCCTCGTATATACCTGACACAAATTGTACATTCCAGATATAGCCCAAATCTAAATCATCGCCACGCATCAGGGAACTGGCTCTGGGTGTCAGGCTGTGATTCAGAGGCTCATTTTGAGGAGGAAGAGGGATCTAAGTTTTCTAAGGAACCTGGGCAGGGGAAACTGCTCTTCGGGGATGCAGAAGCCCCAGCTGGACCAGGCCAGGCAGGAGTTAATTGCATCCCGGAGGCAGCAATTACCCCCAGCTCATTACACCCACTAATGGCACCCTGGGAGGGAGCCCCACAGCCTCGACCTGCTGGAGTTGGGGGGTAGCTGTTTGCCTACAGCAAGCAGAGAAGTTTGTGGGTTTGGAGGCTGTTTGGGGGCAAAAATCTTCCCAGGTCCGTGCCCAGCCCTGAGATCTGCTCCGTGCAGGGCTGAATGCTCGGGATTTCCTGGGGAAAGGGAGCCTTTATCCATCAGCTCTCCTTTCCTCCCCGGCTGATGGTTGGACAGCCTGGACAGGTCTTGGCACCGAAGACCAGCAGTGACATTAATCTGCATACCGTTCTCCAGCGGTGACACTGATCTGCGTACCCGGACACGCGTGCGGGATGTGAGAGGCGAGAGCTCGTCCGAGCTGCAGGCTACGGCAGGGGCTGGTTTACCCACGATCTAGCTCAGGAAGGCAGAGCAGGTTCGTGGAAGCTCATTTATCTTGCTGGAAGCTCATCAAAAGCCCGTTCGGATATCCTTGTGCTGTGCGGCACTTTGCAGGGCAGACGTCCTTGGGCATAAGTTCAAGGCAGGCTGTTGTGTCCCAGCTCCCACGAGACAGCCCTGTGCTGGCAGGCTCAGCCGTGCGGCGAGCATGCATCCCCCTTTTCCAGGAAAACTTCCCAAGGGGGGGGGGCCGCGAGGCTCGAGCCTTCATCCCGCTGGGGACGCGGTGACCAGCACCTTTAGTACCAGTGGGCAGAGCACGGCAGGCAGAGCTGGAGCCTGCGTCCTGTGATTTATCGCCCGGCTCGTGCTCCCTTCCATCTGTCAGGGCTAGCGTGTTAATCTGGGGGCCAACGTGCCGGGTAAATCAGCCCAAAGTGTTCATTCCCACAGCAGCCTCCAGGCAAGGGGGGGGGGCTGCAAACCCCCAGGGCATGAGCAAGGCAGGGGCATTTATTTCTTGCCATTGAACGCTCAGAGAACATCTGTCTGCGGTCCCAAAGACGGGGCCCAGCATTGGGGCGTTTCTGTGGTACGAGGAGGAATCGAGGCGCAGGGTACAGTAACAACCTGCTTGGGATTGCAGAAGAGGGGAAGTGAACCCCGTACTTCCAGTTTGGCGCCCCAGAAGGCTTTTCAGAGCGGGAACGAGCATCCTTCACAAGACCACGGATGCTGGCCCTTATCCCGGCTCAAACCGGGAGCGACCGCGGGGCTGGATCCACACGGGGGGAGCGGAGTTGGAGCTTGGAGCGGTTGTGCTGCTGGGTCAGGCTTTGCTGCTGCTCGCAGGGGTGCTCGCCCCGGGGGCCTCATCCAGCCCTGGTGCTGGGGCGGGGGGCGGTGGCACTGCATGGTGGTGGTCTGTGCGGTTGATCTGTGGGGGCTCGTGGGGCTGCGAGGCACAGCTGGAATGGGGGGGCTCACCCTGGCAATGCTGACAGCCCCCGGCTCCGGTGACGGGACAGCAAGGGTGAAGTCGTGCCCGTGTCAGCTCATCCATCTCCGCTGCTCGCAGGCTGGTCCCAGGGGAAGCGCGGGCTTTGGCAGCTCTAAGTGGGGTTGGAGGCGGATGCAATTCTGGAGAACAAGATTCCCTTGCAAAACCTGTAAAAAAAAAAACAAAATTGAAGTTCTGGCTGAGAAGCTTGTTTAAAGATCTTATCTCTGGCAGAGGAAATAAGGTCTTAATTCCCTCCCTTGCTGCTTGCCTCGCAGGCTTCGCAAGTGCTGGGTCCCCAGAGGAGCCCAGGCCATTAACTCTGCCAGGAAACGAGCTGGAGATGAGAAGTGGCTTTTGTTCGTGGAACGGGGACTGACCTGAAGTGGCTCTGGGCGAAGCTGCTGCCTCTGCCACGTGCGGTCCCTGCTGGGGGGAGAGGCAGGTGGAGAGCGCGCGGGGTGGGAACCCCGTGCCCCGCACCCTGTGCAGCTCCACAGAGGCGCATTCGAGGCAGGTAGCAGGCAAAAAAATACATTTGGGTTTCTGACTCGGCTACCTTTCTTTTCCAAAGCCTGGGTTGGAATCGGGAGGTGGTTTGGGCAATGTTGCTCCCCCTGCTCCATCCCCTGGGTGCCCCGGGCAGGGCTGGGGTCCTTGGGGCTGCCCAGGGTTTCTGCAGGAGGAAGGATGGGGGGGCCATGGCCGTCCCATGAACAACGGGGGCTGCACTGCTCCTGTCCAAACTGGAGAGCTGTTGGGATGCTGTGTGCAACGGGATAAAAGGTATTTAATAAGCGACAGCTCGATGCCATCCACGGCCGTACCTACCGTGTGACGGGGCAGGACTGTCCCTGTTTTGAGGACCCCCATGACTGTCCTGCACCCGAACGGGGGGGATGGAGGGTGAGGAGGGTCCACCCCCTGCCTCGCAGCACGGTGGCCGGTGGGGAGAGCAGAGCCCCCGCTCGCCGGCTTTCGTACCCTCACGTTTCATCGTCACCTCCACCCGCACGAAGAGCCGCGTCTGAGTCATCTCCCGGCTAAATGGAGTGTGTGGGCTTGCCGCAGCTCTAGCTGTTCATCCTCTGCTTTGCTGGAGCCTGACACGGGGTAAAAGAGAGCTATTCATCAACGTGGAGAGGAGGCAGATGGATGTCCTGTACCGCTAAAACAGGCCTTGCTCTCCTCCTACCAGCTCGAGCAGCTGGTGTCTCTCTGTGGTCCAGCGAGGTCTCGCTTAAGTGGCTGCTGCTTGAGGAGCTCAAGAGATCTTAGAAGAAATATGGACCTAGGTTTTGCACTGAAAGATTTAGTGCGCTAGCTGGAAACCGCAGTGCCAGAGCCTCTGTGGAGAGGAGGCTCTCGAAAATGTTCCTATCCTGTGTCGGAGCGGGGAGCGGGAGAGCGAAGCTGGTGGCAGCACCTCACCACGGCTCTCTGACCTGAAATCCCTCGGGGGTGAGGTTGGTGCTGGCCCAGCTGGCACCCAGGACCGCGGCTGTTTGGCCTCGTGGCCGTGGTGGCTGCCACGGGGGTCCTTGCCTATCCCACCCTCACCCTGCTGCCTGCCCCCTGCCTGGCCATGGCCTTTGCACGGGCCCGTCCTGTCCCCGGGGGGCAGCAGGGCAGGGGGTGGCTGCTGCTGGGGCGCTGCTGTCAGCTGTCAAGTAATGGAAGCGTCTTTGCGGAGCTTGGCAGCCCTCTTTGCATACGAAATAGCAGGTCTCCAGAGAGCAACGCCGGGGTGAAACATCGCTCCTGCTGACTGACACCAACCTCGCTCCGTTAATGATGTTAAAAGCTTCTCGGCTGGGCGGTGCAGTCACCTGCCCTTACCGGCTCCTTGCCTGCAGCGCGGTGGCACACGTGCGAGCTGACCTGGGCTCCCACCCCACGCTCCTGCTGGATTTCACCTTCATCGCGCTGGCAGGGGCTGAGCTAACGAGAGCTGGGGGCCGTGTTACGCGTCCGGCCACAGACAAGTGCATGGTGCCACGGACCTGGCGGTTGGCAAAATGATCTTTGTCACTGGTGCAGCTTAAAACAGGGGGGGCGCGTGGGAGCAGGAGCCTCCTTGGAGGTGCAGCAGCATCGGTGCTGGGGTGTTTGGGGGTGCCTGCGTGTGGTGGGGGACAGCGAGCCACGTCCAGGGCGTCCTGCACCCAGTGCCACCTGAGCCACCCGTGCCCCTTCCCTGCCTGCAGGCAGGATGCTCTGGGCAGGACTGGGGGTGGGGGGGGGATGTTTGAGCACTTGGGGCTGCCCTTGCAGTGGGTGCCATGCAGCCCGTGCCCCTCAGCCCTGAGATAACCCAGCTGGAAGCTGCAGGGCTGGGGAAAATGTGGCTTGCTTTAGGTCCCTGTCGACAGCAATTTGGGAGCACAATGCTGATGGCCATGTGGGGGGAGCCCACGGCCACGCGGCCGGTGGTGCTGGGGCTGCTGTGCCGGGGGGGAGCAGGAGGGGAGCACTGGCCACCGAGCACGTCTGAGCGTGGCCGCCCCGGGTCGCACGAGGCTGCGGGGCCATTACGCAAGGGCTGGCGAGTGGCCATGCCGGGCCCCACGCGCCAC